GCATTCTGGAATTTGTGCTTCAAAAAAGGCTCCACATGATTTAGGCCCCTCATCAAAGACCTCCTTAACGGGGCCAAAAAGTCAGATTTTATTGGTGGTTTTCAAAAAAGAAATGCCACAAAATTTATTTTGCGGCGAAAAGCCCAAATACTCGAGAAAAAAGCTAAATAGCATGAATTGCATGTCGTAATGCATACTACAAAGTGGTCAATTCCGAAGATCGACAAAGCTGAAATGATCAAAATCGCTGCGGATTCCAGGGACGACTTCGGGATTTTCCAATTCGCGCATTTCATGCTCAAAAAACGATAAAAGAACATCGGACTTTACAACCCCCACAGCCGGGGGGTCTCAAAGTTTTCGTTATTTTCGATTATATTATCGGGATTCTTGCAACGCCATTGGATAGAGCGTGGAAAAATATACGAAGAGCTTTCATTTGAGCCTACAATAATGTAAAATCAAAAAGTTATGGCCAAAAGCTTCCGGCTGGGGCGGGAGGTAAAGTAAAGTGTAGCCTTAAAGGTACACTAAAATCTCGTGCAAAAAGTCAGTTCGCGGTCGGAAATCCCGGCCCTCTGCCGCGCAAGGCCCGGATCCTTCTTATCCCCCTTCCCTCTCCCCTCTCCCGTCTGTCCCATGGCCTAGTGGTCTAAAGCGCTCGCCCTAGGCGAGTGGCGCGGTTCGGTTTTGCTCCGCGGCGAGCACCTACCGTAACCCTGTTTGCTATTCCGCGGACGGTTACCGGCCGGTAACCAAACCAACGAGGCTTTAGTGTACCTTTAAAGAGATGAGGACGGCATCTGTTGAACTCCCCTTGGGGAGGGGGTTCAACAGATGCAGCGGCGAGAGAGGGCGCCCAGAGGAGAGGCGCAGAGATATTTTCTTTCCCGCGCGTAATCGATTGACTTATGCCGCCCCTATCCCTTTAAGGAGGATGGACCAGACTCCTTTGCCCCTTTAGGCCCATTGAATCGTGCGGACCGCCAGCAGGTGCAACACGGAAGGGGCGGGCAATCGAGTAAAAGGGGGGATTTGGTGTGATTTCCGATACGGTCCGACAAGTTCATTCTGCTCACGTCGTCACTTCGACATGTTTTTGCCAACTGCCGGGGAACAATCGACAATAATGGTCGCCTACACTGTCATATGGGTCATTGGTACCACTCTATTTATCATCTCCATGAACTGTTTGCTGTTCGTAAACTCGAAAACCACCAAAGTTTTCAACCGGCTTCAGATGGTTGTTGTGGTGAGTAAGAGATAATTTGCGAATTTTAAAAAGTTACATTAACCTATCTTTTACGATTTATACCGGGTGTCCAAAAAACGAACCATCTGGCATTTCGCCGTGTTACATAGAATCGTTTCCAAAATTGGACCAGAGGTGTATCAGACCCTAAAAAACCACAATCCTAAGTCAGACCCCAATAGCTACAGTCGTTCTCGAGTTACAACAAAAATACGGTTTTCCGGAAATTCTAAACAGTTTTTTTTCAGCTATCATCTTGGTCTTTGCATCGATTTGCATCGATTGCCGGCTGTGAATCCCGAATTTCGCAAAAGATTTGCAGTAATTTTGCGTTGCAAAAATTGCTTCATCGACGCATATTTGCTTAGTTTTAATCCGGAAAAAATTTTATTAAGCAATGAAGGTCTATCGAATCGTTTTCACTTGATGTTTAGGGAGTCTAATTCCACGGAATCCCGATGAAAAATGGAAGATAATGTTGTTTTTTTTTGCTAGAACTCGAGAACTACTATAGGTACGGGGCTATGACTCAGAATTTCGGTTATTTAAGGTCTGATACACCACTGGTCGAAATTTGGGATCGATTGGGTGTAACGGCGAAATGCCAGATGGTTCGTTTTTTTTAGGACACCCTAAATATTCTCCCCTTTCAGACCAGTAACCAAGCCGTCGATACCTACATTTCGCTCGCAAAGCCGATTTTTTATTTGCCAAGGTTTGCCATTAAGATGCTTGTTCCGCTTTTCGAGGTCACGGCACGTAGCGGAGTTATTGGAGCGGTAAGTGCATTTGGACAGCCGCCGTATTTAAAGGAAGGCTAGAGTGCAGTTTATCCCCCCCCCGGCGCCCAACTTTTGTACAACGGCCCCATGCCGGTCTACAGGTGTGTAAAGTATACCAAGATTTTCACCTTGCTCCGGTGAGTATTTTAGTATATTTTGCGACCCGGTAGGATTGCGGAAGCCGACATATGGTAGGTGGGGTCGTCTCCCTGCAGGGGGAACTGCACTTGAGCCCAACATGAACCAAGAGCCACTTTGTTTCCAGAGCTTCTATTTCACGGGCTCGATCTTGTCGTTGACAGCAATCTTATACATCGGCCTCCTTCGGCGCCAACGAACGGCCGGTTTCTCGAAAAACACGGTTCCAGCAATTTTTGGAAAACAGCGTGGCTGTAAACTCCCCGTTGATCGTGATCTGCTTTCTGGGGTATCTCGCCGCACTCTGCGCGGAGGATGGGCTTATTGTCGACCCAGTTACGGTGGGTGGAGGAGGTGCAGGCATATTGGGCGGAATCCAGACATGGCAATTTCGGTCGGCCGGCCGCGGCCGACCGGCCGACGGCCGCATTAGCATAAAAAAACGGCCGTTTCCGGGCCGCCGACTCTATGCAAATGACTTCCGGTCGGCCGATCGTTTCACAGAAACGTGTCGCTGGCGCCTCAAAATTTTGAATAAATAAGGAATGGGTTTGGGCATTGGTTTTCACTATTCCTTAGGATGCCTGCCTACAAAATCCTACTATATATAAAAAAATAGTGTCTGTGTGTGTGTGTGTGTGTGTGCCACTTTGCATGCAACTTCCGTCAGCGTGTCCGGAGGATATCTCACGAGGGGGAGGGGTGTAAGGAGGTGTTTGATACGTCATTAGACGCGAATATAGTTTCAAGTAACGCAAAAATTTAGACAGGATGTTTCTATGACGAGTGGGCCTTTAGTTTCCTGAATCTTTTTTTTAATTGAATCGTTTTGCTGGTGATAAAGCAATTAGTGATGATAAAGCAAAGCAAAAGCCACGTCTAATCCGTTGTAATCACGTCTAACCCTAGACCGTTGCAACCCCATTATTTAACTGATTTTCTCAGTCTAAACATTTTTGGCCAAGTAAATCCCTTCATTAGCATCCAAAAATCTAATTTGGTTGCGGGTTTTCGGCCGTTTCCGGGCCGCGCGGCCGGCCGCATTCTAATTTTTTCGGCCGAAAAAGCCGATCGGCCGGCCGATTTGCCATGTCTGGCGGAATCTGACGAAACATGATAAATATCAAGTTTCCCCTTATGCTAATTACCTCTCGAAAAACCAAGATTGATTAAAAGCGTCTTTTGAGTCTGTACAGGGTATCGCAAAAAAACGAACGAACCATCTGGCATTTCGCCGTGTTACATCCAATCGGTTCCAAAATTGGACAAGAGGTGTATCGGGCCCTAAATAACAACAATCCTGACTTACAGTCCCATAGCTACAGTCGTTTTAAAGTGATAACAAAAATCCCGTTTTTTCCCGCAATTCTAAACAGTTTTTCGACGGTTTCGTTTTTCGACGGTTTCGACGTTTCGACGACGAACGGTTCCCCATAGAGAGTTACAGTACAGGAGTTCTCGTTATAACAAAAATAAGCTTTTCATAAGAATTCCGTAAAATTAGACCGCTAAATCTGAACCTAAAATGCTTGGGTAAACCTTCTTTACCTAAAGAAATTTTTCCGGACTAAAATTAATTAAACAAGCCTTGATTTAAGCGATTTTTACAACGCAAATCTACCCAAGATCTTCAACAATGTTAAGGATTCGCAGCTGGAAGTGGATGCAAATCGATGCAAAGTCAAAAAGAAGCCGAAAAACTGTTGAGAATTGCGGGAAAAGCAGTATCTTGGTAATAACGTTAAATTAACTATAGCTAAAAGTCAGGATTGTTGTTATTTAAGGTCTGAAACACCTCAGGTCCAATTTTTGGGATGTAACACGGCAAAGTGCCAGATGGTTTGTTTTGTGGGGCACCCTGTATACTTGAATTTTATAAAAAGTCTGAACACATCGTGGGCGAGAAAACAATCGTTTCTCCCGGGTGACGGCGAATCAAAGGACTTTACACGTCCTTCACTCGACCCCGGAGATTGACAGCTTAACTTTCAGATTTGCAACACAATCCCGGAAATTTGTGGGCAAGCTGATGTATGGATGGTAATGCCGACGGAGCATAGCTTTTGGTTTGCGATCGGAGTCTGTTGTTTTGTGGCCTACGGATTGGGGGTGTACGGACACACATGGACCTCAATACTCGGCGAATACCTTTATCCGTTGGGGCAGTACGAAAGCATTCGGACGCGGAGTATTCGACGGCATTTCGTAAACCTATTTTGCCTTCAGGTGGGCACGTACCGGTTCAAAATTGCTGAATCTTTCCCCAAAAACCGTTTTTATCACAATCACACATCAAAATCAGCTAATTTAATCAAGTTTTCAAATTGTTGCATGTGGTAACTCATTTGCAAGAAGATATTTTTCTGCACAGGAAATGCTAATCAGTTTCAGAGAATTATTTTCTCTCAAATTTTTATTAGAGTTTAATTAAACTATCTCATTTTTGGACTTTTCACCCTAAAATTGGCTGTAACTTTTTCAGAATGACGATTAAGAAAATTTGGTGGACAGATTCGGAATCAGGGAACTTTTTGCACAAGATAGGCGTGGGCCTGGAATATAACAGGGATGTCATTCAAAAACGTCTCATTGGGAATATACGGGGTGTCCCAAAAAAACGAACCATCTGGCGTTTCGCCGTGTTACATCCAATCGACCCCAAATTCGGACAAGAGGTGTATCAGACCAAAAAAAACAGCAATCCTGGCTTACAGTCCCATAGCTACAGTCGTTTTAAAGTTATAACAAAAATCCCGTTTTTTCCCGCAATTCTAAACAGTTTTTCGACGGTTTTTTTGGACTTTGCATCGATTTGAATCAACTTCCGGCTGCGAATCCCTAATTTCGCTTAAGAACTTAGGTAATTTTGCGCCGTAAAAACCTAAATCAAAGCTTATTTGATTAATTTTAGCCCAGCAAACCTTTCTGGAGGTAAAGATGGCCACCGGATCATTTTCACTTAATGTTTAGGGGGTCTAATTCCACGGAAACCCTATGAAAAATTAACAATAAAGTTCATTTTCGTTATAACTCGAGAACGTCTTTAGCTATGGGGCTATAATTCAGGATTGTTGTTATTTAGGGTTTTATATACCTCTCGTCCAAATTTGGGACCGATTGGATGTTACACGGAGAAATACCAGATGGTCCGTTTTTGGGAAACCCTGTAGTTATGGTTAGGACTTTTGATGTACCTTCATCAGGCACGTTGTAAAAGAAGATTCAGAATCAGCGAAAAATTTTGTGCAAGCTAGGTTTGGTCTCGTTCCAAACTCCCACTCAGCGAGCCGCAAATTTCATGTTTATTTAGTCGTTGGCTCTGCTCTGCTTGCTCGGAGTGCCGTTTGGCTTCCTTTTTCTGGTCCTAGCATTTTTCGGCGACGCTCAGCCTTCGCCATTTATGGAATGGCTGTTGGAACGTGGGTGCAAATTCAAATCTGATAAATTATTGGTGTTTTTTTAAAGTGGCCGGCGTGGCTCCGCTATATTTTGGTGTGCATTCGGCGGTCAACAACTTAATACTCATCCTCGCCACAAAACCCTACCGCGAGCGAATTTCCTCATTATTGAAGCTTAGCGGTCCGATGGCTACGGTCAAGCTGAATTCTTCGGGTCCCATTGTGGTCGAAGCGGGCCCAACGGTTCGCCCGAAATCTGACAGTGGCTTGAAATAAAGAGTTTTATGGCCGCAAACTTATTGATTGATATAGTTGGCCTGCTAGAGTAATGTCCAACTTTCAAAACATCGAAATTTCCTAGTGTCAAAATGTCATAATGTCGAAATTTCGTTGCCGACACCGCTTCACTCGCTCTATCTCCTCCCTTTACGACGCACCCTCTCTCTCGCTCTCTCTCTCACTCTCTTCCTCTCTCTCCTGTTTTCTGTCGTTTTTGTATGTTATTTGTCAACCTCGACAATACGGTAGTTTGAGCACGTATACAGACAACAGGTGGAAAGCAGAGATCACTTTATTGCTGAAGATCGTCCAAAACAGCCAATGAACACTGTTTTCCGGTCACTACTCTTCAATACCCGTAAAGGTATAAACATATCGAAAAAATGTTCCTACCGAGCCCCAAGAACAGTCGTTCATCATGACCTCGTATACCACAATTTTGCTCATCACCACAATATTGTTTTGCATTTCGCTTAACTGCCTGCTCAATAATCCAAAAATATCGAATTTGACCACATGAGTGCGGTTTTCACTGAAACAGCCGGAAGGCCTTTGCTTAAAGGTACACTAAAGTCTCGTTGGTTTGCAACGTTGATACGGTAACCGTCCGCGGGATAGCACACAGGGTTACGGTAGGTGCTCGCCGCGGAGCAAAACCGAACCCGCGCCACTCGCCTGGGGCAAGCGCCATAGTAGACCAATAGGCCATGGGACAGACGGCACATGGGAAAGGGAAGGGGGATAAGAAGGGTCCGGGCGTTGCGCGGCAGAGTACCCGAATTTCTGACCGCGAACTGACTTTTTGCACAAGATTTTAGTGTACCTTTAACCCTCACTAGCCGGAAGTTCGCAAAAGGTTTTCGCGATAACTTTTTTATATTACACCAGCGCCCAAAACCCGGCTTCGCGGGCCTTGGGCGCTGGAATGCGGCCTTTGCATGAGAAATTTGACTTTCAGATAGCTTGGGTCCTTCGGACCCCCTCCCTTCCTCCGACCAAACCCGCGCGTGCAACTTGCAAGAATGAGGAAATTTGTATTTTTGGAAATAATTTTTATCATTGAAGTAGCTGACTTGGCGCTTGTCTACGTTGGCGTACACTCTATCGTCAATAATCTTATCATCATTCTTGCCACTAAAGCTTATAGAAAGCGGATTCTGCTATTGTTCAGGATAGTAATATCAAGGCAAATCGCCGAGGCTACATCGCAGAATCGCGTATTGGTTAGATCATCGTCCGCCCGCCTCGCCCTCCTTCCGCTATGCATTGAATTTGGAAAATTCGGATAAATTTTAATTCAAGTTGAGGCCGGCCACAGAATCATCACCACCAAATACGCTAATTTTGAGCAATCGTAATTCCCTATTTTTTTATGTTTAGCACCAACCCAGAGAACAACAAGTCCCGGGACAGGTGCGAAATTCGCAATAACCCTGCATATTTTTGGTTCCACCTTTCGTATTGGATCGCCTTTTCCGTTTTTGATGTAGTCAACGGGTTTTGACAAACATGCACTAGAATGTTAACGAATCAAACAATGTGAAATTTTCTTTGGTATCAGATTCATAAGAGGCCCTGAATTCAAGCGATCCTTAGGCTGCCCAAAGGAGTCCATGGGTCTGCAACTGGTACTTGTTTTCCAAGGCGAAGCACAATTTACACTAGAGTTCTTCTTGCTAAAGCTCAACTACGCGTTTTGCCGCACGGCGAGTTGCAACATGTCCGGATCTACCACATTTACTTTTCGGGTGTTTATGGGGCTCCGTCTTGATGCTGCAGCATGGCCTGGATAAAAAGCTGCTTTATGCGATGCTTCTGCTCGGCCCTAGCGATTTCTCACGTTAACTCGGTCTCTATCCCCCTCTCTCTCTCCCTCTCTCTCGGTGTGCCTCACACCCTCTCCTCTCTTCTGTCAATTTTCGATTTCATTTTGGAACCCCAACAATACGGTAGTTTGATCACATGTACAGACGGCAGGTGCAAAGCAGAGAGCAGTTTATTGATGAGGTTCCTTCAAAACAGCTAAACTGCTTTTCGGTCACCACACTTTAACTGGTGTATAAAGGTATAAATATAACTACTATGTTCCTGCCGAGCCCCCACGAACAATCAATCATCATCACCGCGTATACCACAATCTGGATCATCACCACGATATTATTTTGCGTTTCGCTTAACTGCCTGCTTTTTGTGCGTTCCAAATCGACGAAGCTTTTTACACGGCTTCAGATTTTGATCTTAGTAAGTTTATTCAGTTGATGCAAAAATTTTTGTGAATTTTAAGATCAACCACCAGGCAGCCGACACCTACATATGCGGCGGAAAATTCATCATTTTCGTGCCGAAATTTGCGTGTCGCATGCTTTATCCCATGTACATCGCCACGCCGTTGAAGGGTATCTTGGGCGGGGTAGGACGTTCTCAAAAACCTTTCTTAATGTTCGAATTAGTGCGCCTACTTCTGCAGCTCAATCATCGCCCTGGCGGCCATTCTCTATATCGGATTGTTGAGGCGCCAAATAGCGGCCAACATTCAGAAGACGACTTTTCAACGATTTCTGGAGGTCAGCGTCGGCGTGAACACCGTTGTGACAATGGTTCTATTCTGCTGGTACTTATATGTTATGTATGTGGAAGAAATGGTAACGGTGGACCAGAAAAAGGTAAGTTGATGTATCGATAGCTCTCGAAAACGAGAAAAACAAGCACTTTTCGTTTTTCAGTGTGGATTTTATGCCAAATCCGCATGTTAATTGCTTGCTAAAGCAAACATGACGACGCTGATTTTACGCTTGTTTAATAAATCTTCAAAGTTCGAGCGCGGGCTAAAAAATTTGCAAAACAAAAAGCGCTTGTTTTCACGCCTTTCCGAGAGGTTTCGAGTGATGTAAAAAGCATGCCGATCTGACCTTTCTCGGGTCGGTAAAGGGGGGTGGGATTGTCTATTAGGGGTATTGCTGGGAGGATTTGAAATAGCTTTATCTTGGTCCCTAGTTGTGGGTTTTATCCTCAGATAATGGCTTTTTAGGGTATTTTCGCGAGTCTCCGCTGTAGAATACCTGCCATAGCAAGAAGCGGGAGCCGGTTTTCGTGTAAAAGTTACATGCCGAAAAAGCTGAATATCACGCATCTTCATAGCCCGCTTTCGTAGAGCGAGGAAAATGCGCCTTTCTAAAAAAACCAATTTGCGGACCCAAGATCTGGTCGATTTGACCCGCAAACTGAAGCTTTTAAATTGATCGAAACAGAACGAAACAACCTGTAGGCCCGTTCAGATTGCGCCAGAAAACAAGTTCGGAAAACTTATCACGAACGAAACGGTTAAAGGCACGCTCGGGTCTCGTTGGTTTGGTTACCGGCCGGTAACCGTCCGCGGGATAGCAAACAGGGTTACGGTAGGCGCTCGCCGCGGGGCAAAACTGAACTCTGGCCGCCCGCCTGGGGCAAGCGCTTTGGACCACTAGGCCATGGGAGAGACTACAGTGGGGAGGGGGCGAGGGGCTATGAAAGGTCGGGCCAGGCGAGGGCGGTGGGATAAAATTCTCACTATTTTGAACGAGATTTAGTGTACCTTTAACGAGCCGCTACCTTTCAGATTTGCCGTGACATACCGGAAATCTGCGGACAGCCAAACGCTTGGATGGGCTCATCCTCCCAGGATTCCTTACACATGTTGTTGGGTGTATGCGCCTTTGTCGTGTACGGGATGGTCGTTTACATGTACGTATTCTTATCGATCATTCGCGAAAATCTTTACCCAACGGTGTTGCAATATGAAAGTATTCGTACGCGGGGTATCCGGCGTCAGTTTGTGAAGATGTTCTGTTTACAGGTGAGTGAAGACCTTGACGCGACGCAACCGTGGATTCGTAGAACGGTAGTACCGGAGTGCGTTCATTTCGCCGATTAGCATTTCGCCGACGATCATTTCGCCGATTTTCTTCTAGCCATTTTTTATTTCGCCGATTTTCATTTTTCCGACGATCATTTCGCCTGGTTTGGGGCTCATGCGAAATGGGGAAATGATCGTCGGCGGCATGAAAATCGGCTAAATGAACGGAAATCCATAGCACAGAGAACCAACTCTTTTCAGTCATGTGCCCTCGGCTGCTTCATCGTCGGCCCTTTTGGCTTTCTTTTTCTAGTGTTATTCTTTTTCGGAGAGCTGCCACCATCCGCAATCATCGCCCTTCTATTAACACGTGAGGTTTCAGAATTTTTCCATTTAGTTTTTTGACGTTACAGTAGCGGGCCTAACGCCTCTCTACGTTGGCGTACACTCTATCGTCAACAATCTCATTATCATCCTCGCCACGAAAGCTTATCGGGAGTGCATCCTACGATTATTGAAGATAGCGATATCAAGGCCGATCGCCGAGGCTACATCCCAGAATCGGGTTTTGGTTAGATCAATCGTCCTCAGGCCCCGCTCTTTGTCGGCTAAGCGTTAATTTTGGCAAAAGTAGTATAAATTTTCAGGGTCAATTCAACTTGAGACCAACCACCAAATTAGCATTCCCACAAGATACGCTAATTTTAAGCAAACGTCATTCCCTATTTTCTTGTATTCAATGCCAACCCAGACAACAACAAGTCCAGGGGCAGGTGCAAAATTCGCAATCTCCCCGTTTTTTTTGTTCCCATTCCGATCGTCTTTCCATTTCCTGGTGTAGCCAACCGGATTCGGAAAACTATTTCCAAATCGCCGTTGTGGAAACCACAATAATGTGCAATATTTTATTAGATGCATATTTTATTAGGTGCATAAGCCGCCCTAAATTCAAGCGATGACCTTGGCGGTCGGGGCGGAGAGTCCCCAGGTCTCGAACTTGCACGTGTCGGTGCCGCGCTTGATCTGGAATGGGTTTATTAGTAAGAAAAGTTCGTGGTTAGAATCCACCTGGAAATATCCAGCCATTCCCCAGTTGGTGCCCCACGAGTTCTTCACCAGCCAGAAGTTGACGCCGGCCGAGTTGGTGCCTGAAACCGTAGTTTGCACATTTCGCGGCCGATTCTAATCAATTTTAAACTCAGAAGTTGTTTTATGGATTTGGTTGATGTTACAGCTTTTAAATATGGCCTAATTCAACCTACCGTATCCCATGATGGTGACAGCGTGTCCTCCGAGGAAGTTGGCGCTGCTGGTGGTGCAGTTGGTGCTGTAGATGCCGCTCGTGTAGTAGTAGAAGTCCTCGCAGACGTAGAAGGCTAGAATTGTGTTCCTTTTTGGAGGATGAGTCGCCAAACCGGCAGTGATGGGTCCGGTGGTGCCGACAAAGCTCAGGGCGCTGGCAACATTGCCAGTCATGTCGACGACGGTGTTGACGGGCATGTCGACGGCCTGGAATATAGTGTTCAAGAGAGATGGAGAGAGAGGGGGAGAGGGAGAGAGAGTTAGAAAGAGAGAGTGAAAGAGAGAGGGACAGAGAGACAGGGAGACAGCGAGACAGCGAGACGGAGAGACAGAACGACAGAGAAACAGAGAGAAGGGCGAGAGAGAGCGAGAGAGAGAGAGCGAGAGAGAGAGAGAGAGAGAGAGAGAGAGAGAGAGAGGAAAAGAGATAATTTACTTACCACGCTAGGGCAAGCTGTTTCCTTGCCAGTATAAGGGACAGTAGCGGTACGCGCGGCTCCCTTGGTCTTGATCGAGCTGAAAAAATAGGGTTATACGCCGTAGATGACCTATTCTTACTGTAACATCTGATTTTTATGAAGAAAGAGGAAGGGCTAATTTTGCTTACTTCAACGCCGTTGCGGGCCATCCACCGTTGCAAGGAGACGACTGGGTGCAGGTCATGATTTGCTGCTCCGAGTAGCTCCTCTGGCTGGCGTTGTAGCGCTTGTTGATGATGTTGGAGGCGGTCTCGACGGCGGCCGAGGCGCTAGAAAAATATTTTTATGATTTTCTAGCAGTAACTTGCAAATTAATAATCCTATAAATTTATAAAACTAACGCAAAAGCCCAGCAGCATCCGCATTGTCCCTGATTCTTAACGGGGGTGACGACGCCCTTTGTGCGCCAGTCGAACGCCGTCGCGGTGGCCTGAAATCCAAGTTTTTAATTGGTCGGGGCGAAGCGACTTCGCAAAGTATCTGAAGCCAGAAGAAGAGCTTGGAAGGCTCAATATATGGTCTTTGATTAAGTAAGCGGAAGCTGAAAAGAAGCTCCGGAAAGTCTTACACGCTTGCTCCTCTTCGGCTCGGGGACGACGATGCTGTCGAGTGGGGCGGGCATCTTGTCCGGGTTGATCACCAGCTAAAATAACATTAAAGCGCCAAGTATGGACCCGTACCTTCTTGAGGTCGGCGGTTGACCAGTCGGCAAACTCGGTGACTCCGAACTCCTCCCTGAAATGAACAATTTAAACTCTTTCCTTGCAAACAGTCTTTTTTTAAAGTTCAAAACTCACTTGGTGTCGGTGTTGTTCTTCTGGAACTTCTTGATGCGCTTCAGGTTGTTGGCAAAGTTCCGTTTGCGCTGCTTGCACGCGTCGGCGCCGTCGGTGCAGTTGCGCTTGAATCTGGAAGACAACGAGGTGGGGTCAGCCTGTGGGTTTCTTACCGGCCCTTGAACGTCTCGAACTTGTCGTTGTCCTCCTCGTCAAGGATGCCGTCCTTGTCCGCCTTCTTGACCCTTCCGATTCTGGCGATGGCAAGCCCGGTGAGGCCGAGGAGGAGGAGCACGGCAAGCCGATTCATGGTTACCCTAAAATATGAAAATTAAAGGTCTGAAGAAGGCTTAAATCAAGTATGCAAGATAAATTACAATATATACGGCAGTCCGCTACGCTTCATTGCGGAGGCACGATATGCAACTACGTTAGGATATCCTACGCTACGCTACACTACAAGCCACTACAGCTCCTCTTGATATAGCCAAACTCTATAAACTGAAAACCGGCCGAAGCCTGTGAGATGCCATCGACCGATACTTGCCTCATTTTATAGCATGGAGCCGAGTCTCGGTCGGTCAGCCCGCATGACTGCAGTCTACCGGCTGAGCCAACAACTTCCTCCGTCCGATGGGGCCATTTTTCCGCGTTACAACTATACACGAACGGCTATGTCAACCAGAAGTCGAAGTGTGCTCGCGCGTCCCACGTCCCAAATCGGGAGTTGAAGTTGCGCGGGGGTGGCTCGAGTTTTTTTGGGAGGATTCGGATGAGCCGGGAGCCAACGGTCGGCTTTTTTGGGCTTCATCCTTGCAGGGAGGCTTGTATTTGTCCATGTATGGGGGCCGAAGAACGGTGTATCGAACTATGGTGCAGAAATTGCACCGGCTGACCACGATGGTCGGCTATTCAAAGCACATTTTCGAGGGGCTGCAAAAATGCTTCGGTGCGCTTAGACTTCGGCGTGTGCTCGGGCCTAGGCTTAGGTTTCGGCTTCAGCCTCGGCTTAGGCTTCGGCTTAGGCGCTGGCTTCAGCCTGGGTTTACAAAATTTTGATCACAAAACTTGCATGCAATTTTTTTCACTTTATTGAAAGGTGAAAACAAACTTAAAAGAATTTTGCTCTGTTGTATCCATGTTTTTTCAGTCTTTCGAAAGGCGCTATATCATTTTGAAAATACTTTTGCTATGTTTTATCGATCTTAGCAGTTTTAACAGATTTAGAATTGTTTATTCCTCAAAGATAAATTATGTTCAATTAAAACGTTCAGCTCAATCGCCACGTCGAATCTCGACAATGCTATCCCATTGGTACCGTTCACTCCGGTCCTTTTTCATCGATTCCCGGCCCCGGATCTGGTTCCGCGGGGCTACGGGGGTTTCACTAAAATTTGGGAATCATAACAACCGTTTAAAATTTACTCCGAACAAAGAGCCGTGTCGTCACATTTACAGGAGCAATCCGCTTCATACCAAGTGCCTAAAGTACTTGCTTTTTTGATGCCGGCATGTTCCAGCCCAAAAAATGCAAAAGAAAAACGTTCTAAAACTACGTTTAAAGATACCCATACAACATAAACACACCTACCCATACAACTCATCCGTTTTGCTTCATCGCAAACACAGTTGCACTGTTCATCGACGATTTTGTTGACGTTGTGGCATTGTTTGTTCTAAAAAAGTGCGTTTCGGTTCAGAGCCATTCAAAAATACTCACGTCACAATTATGGCAATTACAGGCCAAATGCTTCTCCATGGCCACCACCTGATCGCCGTCGTATTTGAAGTCATCGCCACCGATGTATCTCATCAACGCTACCTAACGACACTCTTTACGTTTCGGAACGTAAGCGTACTGTGTAGTTTTGGAGGACCGTATACGAGGACTTGCAGCCTTCGCTGCTTTCACAACAGGAACCGATGCAGCGGGGGATCTAAAAAGTAGAGCTTTATCTCTCTCTGACTTTCTCTCTCTCACTCTCTCTCTCTCTCTCTCTCCTCTTTATCTCTCTCTTACCTGAATACAGGTCGGCCAAATAATAACCGCGTTGTCTTGCGGTAGGAATGGGACGGGCACGCAGATCTCTCGGACCTAGAAGTGTTAAAAAATACGTAAAAATGGTTCAAAACGTGTGAGTTATAGAAACTTAATAATTACGCAGTAGCTCACAAGACTAGTTCCCCAAAACAAACCATAGACTTATCCAGATAAGTTAGAATATCTTCCGCCTTACCTCACAAGTATCATTCCCCTGCTGCAAGCTCTCCAAATGGTGCAAATTCACATTGTGATCTAAAATATACGTTAAATGCGATGAGTTTTTTGAAAACCTGGTTCAGTGTCATGCACCATTTCCGCGCTCGTCAAACCGACCTGCGTGTTCCTGTGTTTCATAGACATGCCGGCCATGCTGACGCGATCTAAAGGGATGGTACGTCAAATCCAAAGCTTCGTTTCACCATCGGTGTGTTGCACTTTCACTTGCTGTCCAGCTTTGTGCCTGTGGGAAGCCATGATATTGATATTTCGGCTGAGCTCCTAAATGTGTGACCGTAAGTTAAAGCTCAGTTTAACCCACTGCCTATGCCTACGCCTAATGTTGAGCATGAGCCTTATGGCTAAGCCTGAGCCTAAGCCAATGGCTGAGCGTATGCCTGTGCTCAAGCCTAAGCCTAAGCCGAGATCAGCAACAGTCCCTAACCTAAGCGTAAGGCTAAGCTGACGCTCAAATCGAATCTTACGCCGGAGCATGAGCCTAAACTAGACCAGGCCAAAGCCAGCCTCTAAATGCTATCTACACCTTGTCGAAGCACTCATCCAACCGAGTACCTTAAAATTCTTCGAATTTCTGAAAGTCTTCTTATGCTCAGCGCTCTGCGTAAAAATCGTCGGTATTAATCCCAGAAATATCAGCAACAATTTCATGGCGCACAGAATTATGAGGGTGGGGATGAGTCAGTTCGTTTATATCACGTCGACAAGTGTCCCCCCCAGGCGTTGAAATCGATGAGAGAGAAAAAAGCTGTTTACGCCCATAAGTCGTAGATGAGCGGCAAAATCATATGGGAGGGGTGCTGACAGATGTAAACTATCGGGTGGATGGGTTCCTGGAACTGAGTAAGGGTGGTCGAGAACCTTCTGGTTGCCCAAAGAAACTATCGAAAAGGAAGCGACAAACATCAAAATTAAACATTCTATCCAATAAAAATTGAGAAAGGGATCAGGGGTACAAATCCCTACGACCGCTAAAGCGATTAATTTTATGTACGGTTCCAACAACGATTGAAAGTAGTAAGATACACAAAGTAAGTAAAAAGAATATTTACGTACAAAATCACACCAGCGAAATGGCTGAGGCCAGAAGAAAACGCAAAGAGAAGGTCCCTCGTCGCCAGCCAGGCCTACACTTTACCCAAAATTGGGAAAAAGTAAAAAGGGTGTCGGCCGTAGCGGATACGCCGCATGCGATCCGTCCACGACAAGACGCGGTGGCTTTTGCTTGCTCCCTTTCGGTCCTGGGCCATTCCACCACTCTTTAACCGCCCGGGATATCTAAAGCTCCCCCCTAGACAACCCTGGCGACGCCTCGTTTGGCTCGGACACGCGGCCCGAAACAGACCGAACACCCCGCTGCCAAGTAGCTGGCTCACAGACGCCCGCCACGACGCCCAGCGGTTACGGGTCGCCAAAAGGGGGGTTATGAAGGGTGGGGAGGCCAGGCTGGCTGGAGAGTGCCCAAGAACGGAAATAGGTGGTTTCGTTTTCATTTTTCTCAAATATTATGAAAGGCCTTTGCGAGGATTTTTATAAGCTTTTATACTATTTTAATTATGATTTAAGTAAACTCGAAATGGCCTCTAGTTAGAGAAGAGTTTTTCATGAGGCGTTCCGCGTTTTCTTACGGGTGTATTTAGCTTTTTGGTTTTTCTTTTTGGGTTTTTGGTTGTTGCTGACCACTTGTTGCTAGCGATTTTCAGTGCTTAGTTTTAAGGTGAAAAGGTGTAAAGTCAAGAGCGAGCACAGTCAATAATGCAAAAACAGCACATAAGCACAATAACAAAACCGTTTAAATAAATATACAAAATAAGATGCTGTAGTAAATCGCAGTCGATGGCGTTTCCCTGTCTCTCTATCTCACTCTCTCTCCTGCTCTCTGTTGAAGTTGAAGAGTTGCTAGTTAATGCCCAAACCTGGCCAAAACCGAAAAAGTCTGCAATTAGATGTTTTATGTCCATCTAAAAAGTTTAAATTCGCTCACACCTTAGCTTAAAAAAAAAACAGTTTTCCCACAATTTTGGCCAATTAGCTGGGTAGTAATGTTGTTTCTACGATGTCGCAGTCCAGTTCTCTCGCCAGCCAAAACAAAAACAACAAAAATTTATCCCCCAGGCCACTGGCTGTGGCAGTCACCATTCCCGACTGTAGGAGATGGCCGGTGCCAAATTCTTGCTCGTCCTGTTGTATTTATTCTTTAAAAGTTCCCGATCATCACTGCTCGACCGAAATTTGGATATCTCGCATGAGTTTGAGCTGTTTATCAAAAAGTATGCCTAAATTTCGGGTTATAATGAAAAATATCAGTTACAACCGGTCGTATGAAAACGATGCGGAGGAATTGAAGATCAGGAAAAAATACTTTGCCCAGAATCTGTTGAACTTGGCGATATCTAATGTTACCGAAAAGGAGGGAGGGTATGTGCTAATCGGTAGTTAGAGGTATCTTAAGTTTTTAGAGCTATTTACGGCATTACAAGCTTTATGGATTGGTCTCAGGAGGAAAAGAAAGCGGTAGGCTTAAGAGAGTGAGAGGGAGTGAGAGAGAAAGAGAGAGAGTGAGAGAGAGTGAGAGGGAGAGACATTGATATCTACATTTTAGATCCTTCTCGACCCAAAATCAATGCCGGAAAAAAATTGCACATGGGTCTACCAGAACAGCGGCAACTCGATGAAAAATTCCAATGTCGATTGGCGCAACACTGGGGCTGTCAACGACGTGCGAAACCAGGGACAATGCGGATCTTGCTGGGCATTTGCGTTTGTCGCGGAACGCACACATGTCAACTGGCAATTTTCAGCGTCACCGCCGCTGTCGAGGTCCAAGAAAATTACTGGAGCGACCGCACGGGCTCGAAGCGGATTGCTTATTCGGAGCAGGTATGGATTAATCGGGCCATACCTGATATGGTGTTAATGCCAATCGGATACTAAATGTTTCGGCCCGACCCTAACTGGAATCATAAATTTCCAAACAGTTTTTATAGTGGTCAAAATTCGTCGTGTCGCTCTTTATCTCTTTTACCTTATTTTTTTTTGAAGTGAAATAACTGTTCTTTTATAGTACTTGATTGATTGCACCGATGCCGGAAGCTGCAAGGGTGGAAGACCTCAGAAGGCGCTAGAGTGAGAATTTTTCAGTTGTAGTTTAAGAGAGTTGATACCATTGATAGGCAAATCAAGAAGAAAGGCTTCGTGCGCCAATCGGAATTGCCATACGACGCTAAAAAAGAGGAGTGCCCGCTGCACCTGGTAACTTTTCCACGCAGGGCTTTCAGAGATGGTGTTCACCATTAATTTTTGCGCCGTTTCGAGCTTGAAGCGTTTGAAGCTTTCCAGCACTATGCGACCTTTTCAGCATTTCGAATTTCCGGTGAATGGCGTGTACGAGATGACCGGAAACGTCGATTACATCCTGGATTGGGTCGAAAACATTGGTCCAGTCACTGCCAGTAATTTCACGCATCGTGCCTTGAAGTTTTGGCTTTCCAGCTTTCAGGGTCTGCGAGGACTTCTTTAGTTATACGGGCGGCCTGTATAGCCGAGATTGCCGCTCCGGCGGCTACCACGCCGTGACCATCATTGGTTACGGTAACTCCGGTGTTTTATACAACCTTTGAGGCTTTTTTAGGGACAAGCGGAGGGGTTGACTATTGGCTGGCGAGGAATTCTTGGGGAAAATCCTGGGGAGAAGCTGGATATTTTAAGGTAAAAAGCTTTACATGGTTTCTGGAAGGGGTTTTAGATTAAACGCGGCGCGGACTTGTGCGGCTTCGAAAGCATCGAAAATCTGACCGTGATGATTAAGGTTTTGTGAGATTTTTTCGGGGATAGGGATCGGTGGATGTTTGCTTAGATGCATAAAGACCTACACTGTTCTGCTTTGTGACTTGAATAAATATTTAGAAAAATTTAAATTATATTTTTGAGTCACTCCAGGTGGCCTCAAATCTTAGAATGTTGTTTATGTTAATTATCATTTGCATCCAAAAAACCGCGCGCTCTGCAATCCGTTTCCGAACGCCCGTTCCGTTTTGCCACCTCCCAGCAACATGGTGTTGTTGCTGCTCGAAGAAATGCGAGAAAAAGGGTTTGAGAAATGGGCGACTCGCAACAGTTCCCACCCCCCGCTTCTTTTCGAGCGTCCCCCACCGATCGGGAGCAATTTATGGACATACGCGCGGGGATGCTGATCTCCCCCGGTCACAACTGTGCCCGCGTTTTTTGTAAGCATTTAGCGTGAGTGCGAGGGGGTTCGTGGGAGCGTGTAGTCGATCGCACCGTGGAAGAACGGCGGGGGGAGGAAGGCTTTTGAGATTATGATCTGGGGGAATTGGACGTGGAAGGCGGTGTGGCTTTGAATTTCTAAAAGGACGGCCAAGGCATAGTTATAGATTTCGTTATTACGGCTTCACGCACAACGCGCGAGCCGTTTTGCGGTCGCAGTTAACCAACGATTACGCCATACAATGATTCGCGTTAGGTGCGGGGATTGTGTCCGAGGTCATCTGAAATCCTTAGCCGAGAAAAACCACAAGCATGACTTGACCGTTCCTTTAAAAAGCGACATTTTGGTCTTCGGACGGTGCGCAGACTGGAAGTCCTCTTTAAAGGCAATCTCGAATCGACAGGATTTTAACAGGAGTGATAGCTCTGGTCAAGCCGGAAAATGAGGGAGAGAAAGAGAGAGGGAGGGAGAGAAAGAGATACTAGGTTTGTAAAAATTCCCAGTTAAAATATGGAAAAATGCAGCGTTTTAACTTTTATCACGCTCCAGAAAAAAATCTTTGGTGCTTTGATTGTTTGGACGCAAACGACTTCGATTCGCATGATTTTGCGGAAATCTTTGGACGGTTTCAAACCCGCGAAGAAGCTGGAAAATCGTGTTCAAAGAGATTCGATACGAATCTTGTTATATCGGAACCCGTGCGAGTCGATCAACGAAAATCATCGTTTCAAAATTTAAAAAAAGAATAAATTTACTTTGGATTCTTTTACTCCGATTTCGATGGCTTCAACTTGAATACGGCTACCTCCTACGCCACCTGCTCCCTAAACCCTGCCCAAACCAACCACAGTTCCCCCTGTGTTGCGGCTCACCGGTTCGCAACTCGCTAATCCGGCGGGGTGGGCCATTTTTCAAGGGCCGCTGAACGGGCGGGGAGGACACTTTTTGCAAGGAGCCCCCGGGTGAGCGGCACCTTTGTGAGGGGTGCGTGATGAGCGATTGGGGGAGGCTACGGTACCGGGAGGAGGACGATCGGAGCGGCGCGTAGCCGTGTATGATGGATCACGCTGCTGGAATAAGGGTGGAGCGAGAAGGGGTGGGAGGACCGTATCCTGGGCCTGGGAAGGTGGATTTGACACTTCGGGTGAATCGTTGTGCGTCTTTGGGATGTTATGTGATTTTGGCTTCGTTTCAAACCTATTAGATCTAAAATTTTATTAAGCTTTTTTAATGGAATTGGAGTTTTGTTTTGGGTGTTTCGCGTATCATTTTCTAGGTTTTCAAAGAGTAGTCCTAAGTTCACACGTAATGTAAGATCATAGAGCGTTATTTGATAACTTTTAAGGCCGTTTATTATCGATTACTCTGTTAGTCCGTTTTACAACATTTTTTAGAAATTCCGAAGCATGGGAATGTTCCCCGGAATTCCACTATTCCTGGCGAACTCCCTTTTCCCGCCTTCGACAGCACTCTCTCTTTTTTCAACAACGTCTGAAGGAGCAGGTACCGGTAAGTTCTAATCGAATTGCGTACGGTATGCTATGATACAAAGGTCTCCCTGCAGTTTCTAGGCTCCTGATAATAGCAAATTTTGGCGTTTCCCCCTCTGCATCCCTCTCCAAAGCTTACCTTGAGCTCGACAAATTTTTATAAATTTGATACGGTTTCCAGGAAGAATACATTAAATTTAGAATTGGCAAGACCTCCTCAACCTGGCAGCCTCTTCAACTACTGATACCTTGACCCCATTGGCCGATGGACTGCTGAAAATAGTTTCACCTGGAAGGGCAGGTGCCCATAATTCGGGAGTCGCCATTTCTGATGACCAACCCGGGCCCTCGGGCCAATCAGCCGAGAAAGCACCTGGCATCTATGCGCATATTCTGGCGGAGAGCCCGGTCAGGAAACTGACCTATTCCGGTAAGCTCCAATTAACGCACATTTTTCAAATTTTTAAAAGTTAGACAAAAAAGATTTGCTTCAGCTTGCTCGCCAACCCGAAATCGCTACGGCAGGGTCTACGTTTCCGGTCGGCCGTTGATAATGAAGGATCGCCTGAAAATCGTGGAGTTGCATAAGAAGGTAACGAATATAATCAAGTAGTTGATTCTTTGCGAAATCATCGATTCATGACACTTTTTTAAGCCCAAACAATCTGCTTGTTCCAGGGTTATAAGAAGATCAACATCGCCAAAGAGCTCGGCGTGACCCATAGCTGCGTCAGTAAGGTTTTGAGAAGGTAAAATAAAAGTTCAATTCTAAGGTATTTAAATTACTTTTTAGATACCTCGAAACTGGGAGCTGTGAAGCTAAAAATGTAAAAATAAAGAGGAAAAGGACACCAGAAGCTGATCCAGCAGAAGCCAAACCGGAAACTGCCCCGAAGCGCGTGCTGCGCTCGTTTACTATTGAAAAGTGAGTCTTGACGCCAAAGCATAAAAAATTATAAAAACTATCTTTTTGAATAGGAAATAAGAGCTACTTAAACCATAGCAATTCAAAATTAAACAACGTAATTTCCTTTAGTTTACTATCTACTGAAACCCATCATATCGTCTATACCTCCAAATAAAACGAATACCTCATCAAATTTCATGATTTCATTGTACGTGATTATTTTCCTTGTGATATACAACAACTTTATTGATCTCAAAATTTCGCCATCTTGTGATATAATATTAAGCTTTTGCCGGGGTTGTAGCATCGAGGAGGAGACACTGAAATAAATTCATGTAAATGTGCTAAAAACCCTGAATCACCTCATAAGCGGAAGTAGCTGCACTGAAAACTGGCACGTACGGCTTGCAGCAGTAGGTATCGGCGTGGATCGATAGGGTTGTGGTGTCGAGTTTGATGGAGGCATCGAGTTTGCATGCCGGTGAACCGCAGCGATCAGGGAGTTGTAGGGGATTGCGGAGACTATAAAGGTATCACCAATACCGTTGTAATCAGTTTTGCCCATTAAAACGGTAATTTTAGACCAAACGATCTTTCTCTTTAAGATTCATCTAGCAATATAAAAAATTTATTAGCAAAAAATGTTATACTTATTCCTTCTTTTCATTTTCTATTTTTATATTTTCCACAGTCTTTTTATATTGTGTCAAAGAAAATGGCATTTAAAGTTAATGATCTATAATGGTACATAGATTAGTACAGATAACTTTATGTTTTTATTTACCAAAACATTTATGGCAATAAACTTCCAAACTCGAGCCGCCTTGTCCACTCCTGGCGCCTCGATATCTGCATTGCTTGTCCACCTGTCAATTATCCCCTTACCGACTATGCCTCAAAAGCCCATCCCCGCGCCCCCTCCTCGCCGCCTCATTGGCTCAGTGGCAGAGCGTCTGTCTAGTAAACAGAAGGTCGCTGGTTCGATTCCAGCATGAGGCACCAACTTTTTTCCTTTTGGCTGAAGGTTTGTGGAGCTTATCAAAAATCTTTTTGCTTTATTTCGAACCTGCATGGGCATCCGTAGCTATCCGAAATGCAGGTTCTATTTCTTATCGGAAGTCCGCACATTCCACAAGTAGCAGTGCAGGTCTCGTTCCATGGTCCCCAGACTCCTAAAAATTTGTGGTAAAAGGCATCCAAAGTCTCAAATAGGTACATCAAACTTAAATAAACTAAAAAGATACGTAAAAACAGCTGAAATAGGTGAAAGCGAGCTAGGAAATAGGTATCTAAACGTTAACGTACCATATTTCGGACATTGGTTCATGTTGGCTTCTAAATGGCGCGTTTTTACGACCATGAAATCTTACATCATACCTCGATACGTCGCGCAAACGTACGCCTTTTGGCTGACTGCCACCATTTTAATATATGGCTCACAACAAAAATCCTCGTGCTCTTTCGCTACGCAGCCCTGGACGCCGAGCAGCGTTCCCGGCTGGATACAACGGACGGTTTTGGTTGGGCTACCGCTAGAAAATATTGTAGTTTATAGCCTTACGGAATTTCGGGCTTACGTGCAAGCGCAACCCTTGGTCAGACAAGTTCTTTCGTATTTCTCAACACCACAATAGCCGCATCGAAAATTGCAGGGTTGCGTGAGGTTCCACTCGGTCCAGTAACCTTGATAATTTTAATTAAATATTATTAAAACAATTTTTAAGGAATATTAGTGATGCTCCTATAGCTATTATGCAATACTGTTATTTTGATAGCATTATTTCAAAAAAAAAAATTTTTTTTGTTACCCCACCGATTATTTTGAAAAACTTTAAAAGATAGTTTTAATGCGCACTCATTTTTTACTTCGCTTAATTTTATTCCAGAACTAGAAAATTAAAAACTAGAAGAAAACATAGAAAGCGTAGGTAAGTAAGAAAGAGTGGAACATACAGGGTGTCCCAAACCCCCCGCTGCATTTGGCCGTCTTCTATCCGATCGGGACCAAATTTACCACTGATGGGGACTCATAAAAACCATGTGCAGCCGAATTTTCTAAGCAAAATATTGTAAAATAAAAAAGTTATATCGAAAATAAAGTTTATTTTGCCAATTTCACTAAGATTTTGATCGGTTTGGACCTCGAAATGTTTAGCAAAAATGAAGAGGGCGCTTTTTTCCACCCGGAATATTTTTTTGATTTACGAAAATTACGTCTAAACTGGGACTTTTCATGACTTTTTGTTATAAAAATTGACAGAAACCGACCCGAAATGACGATTTTTGGGAAAATTACTCAAAATCGGCATGCTAATTGCGAAAACTTAGCCAAAATTGAGTATCAGCATTTCCCAAAAATCAGTTTTTTAGCGATAACTTTTTTATTTTACAATATTTTGCTTAGAAAATTCGGCTGCACATAGTTTTTATGGGTTCCTATCGCTGGTAAAAATTTGGTCCCGATCGAATAGAAGACTGCCAAATGTCGAGGGAGGTTTTTTTGGGACACCCTGTAGTTTTCGAAAATTTACCTCCATCCATGCAATCCTGCAAAACGGTAGCTGCTGCGGTTATTTCAATAAAGATAAAGCACTAAATTTTATTCGACACAAAATCAGGAACAAAATGCATACCAAAATATGGACCCGAGATGACGAAAACATTAGGGGCGGCGAGGTGAAGGAGTGTGTGCGGTTCGATGGCAAAATATGTGCAAAGCGGATCGTAACGAGGATTTATGATGTGTGAAAAGTGTAGGATGATGCAGAAAGACGACGAAGAAGCATCGAGTTTTAAAAACAGTGGAAATAAAGTGTTATTAGATGATTTCATTGATAGGAATGGAATGAACTCATTTAATATCGTCTTTGACCTCATCCGCTCGCGCCGGGAACGAAGACGAATACCTCAAAAATTGAAATTAGCATCGTTTCTAAGGCTTAGACTTGGACTTAGGTTTAGGCTTAGGCATGGGCTTAGGCTTAGGCTTAGGCGTAGGCTTATGCGTCGGCTTAAGCTGACATTAGTTTTGCGTTTAGGGTTTGCTTTGTATGAGGCCTAGGCTTAGGCTTAAACTTAGGCTTAGGCATAGGCTTATACTTAGGCTCCGGCTTAGGCTTAGTCTTTTGCTTGGCTTTTCGGGTAGCTCTGGTTAAATAAAACGTTTGTTTTAGACCTAAGTTTAAAAACTAAAAATTTAACAACTTACATCCTCATAAAGTAGCTCCACTTTCGAAGTCGATGGCTCGACATCCTGATTTGCCATGGAATTCACAGCGGTTGTGGTGCCGCCCAATATCGTGAAGGTGAACTCCGCGAATTTCGAGGTAGCGGGAGGCGCAGTAGGCATTGAGGCGAGGGTAGTGATTAACGGGCTCGACAAGTTTGTCGATGATACGGTGGCAGTGGTCGTGGAGGGCGAGGTAGTTGTCGTACTTGTAGTAGTTGTCGTCGTTGTCGACGTCGAGGTAGTCGGAGTCGTAGTCGTTGTAATGGCGGTGGTTGTTGTTGTTGTTGTTGTTGTTGTTGT